TCAAGTGGCAGCTTCAGCTTTTTTTGCAGCTTAAAAAAAATGTGATACGACAATTCTGCCTGCTGAGTCATCAGTTATTATAAATTACCTGAAGTATGTTTAGATTCATCAATGTTTTGTTAGATTTGGCGAAGTAGCATTTCCTTAATAAGATTAGTCTGAAATCTCTCAACATTTCTGATGTTTCCTCATAATTTAGGAAAGAAGAACAGTTTGAGACCAGGATCAATTGGCAGTCTTGAAAAAAAAGACTATAAATCAGGAGGGGTTTATTCTGATATAATCCATTTGCAATAGTGTTACAAAGTGACTAAATACTTTCATTAAAAATGCGATCCCCTCGAAAAACGTTTTAAAACATTAAAACAATTCTCAGCTTTGAGAAATAATTGTATCTGATTTGGTTTCCCACAAACAGAAACATTCAATTACCTGGTTAAAGAGTTTAAAGTTCAACCACAAACAATATGAGTGCATTAGCTTCCTTATATTTTACTTATCTGTTGAGAACCTATTTTAACAACAGTCGGAAGCAGCAATTAAGCAAAATATAAAAATATTCTCAGGTATGGAGATGTCTGCTGTCCCCCTCTTCTTCCTATGCATCCCTTCATATTTCTGCCATCACTGGTTCACTGCTGAACATTTATTAGAACTCTGCCCCCTGCTGTAAGGAAGCTCAACTACCATCAAGCTTCATTTTCTGGAGAACATGCAGAATTAATTCAGCAAAAGTCAAAAACAGAAAAGAAGGATCACAGAAATGTTGTGTATAATCACTGTTAAAAGAAAAACAAAGCACAATTTCATGACACAAAACAGCCTGAAATTAGATTTATCTTTTGATCTCCCCGTTTTATTTTTTTTTAAATGTAATGAAGGTGAGGCACTTTTTGTGACATTTATTGGTTATACATTTACAAGTTTAAAACGCAACTAGGATTTCTATTTACACGCTTGGATTCACACTTCAACTATGATTACAGTTTAATGCATCTGCAGACATGAACATAAAATATCTTTATAACCAGGAGATGGTGCCACTGACCGAGTTCACTGTCACCTGTGCTGATGTTTATGAATAGGCCTATTATAATTAAACAAAGTTGAAAGTCACCTGTTCTGCAGCTGCATGTTTTACACAAGTCTTCTTTAGCATCAATAGAAGAGAAATAAAAAGGGTTTGATAATATTTAACTCCTGTGTTTTATTAAAGTGATTAAATTTCCTCATTGTTTGGTGATTTTCATTCTTATGTTAGTTTTGTTCACCCCACCTTGCTTTAATGTGTATTTCTTATCTGTTTTGTAGTGTTTTATCTGGATCCTGAGTGTGGGATCAATACAGTCTCTTATCTTAAAAGTGTTTTGTATTAACCTAAACTTGTCATATCGCTTCATTTCTATTTTCAGAACTCCAGGATGCTTCATGTAAAGCTCAGTCAGTCCCTTTACTTTGGTGCCTTCACTGTCCTGGATTTCCACACTCATCCTCCTCGCCACGATACACTCATGTAGAGGTAAATTACACACATCCCTAACAGTCTAGTTTATGTTTACATGTAAAGTTATTCTGCTGATTTTGTACTAAACAAGTGTATTCTGCAGAAATAAACACCATAATGCTTTTCAGCTCAGTCTAATGTGATTGGTCCATCCAAGCCAATACTGGCAATGGTTGGTGAGGACATCACTTTGCCATGTTACCTGGAACCCTGTCATGGATGCTTTCAGCATGACTCTGGAGTGGGCGAGACCTGACCTGGTCCCCAGATTTGTCCTTGTGTGGCGTGACGGTGTGGAGCTAGACAGTAAAAAACATGGATCCTACGAGGGAAGAACGTCACTGTTTAGTGATGAACTGAAGAACAGAAACATTTCACTGAAACTCTCCAAAGTTAAAATATCTGATGCAGGAAGATACATTACATTTAGCCGACACTTTTATCCAAAAGCAACTTAAATTGTTATAACTGTCAGAAGTCGCATGTCTCCAGAGCAACTAAGGGTTAAGTGTCTTACTGATGGATACATTGGTGGATGTGTCACAGTGGGGAGTTGAACCCGGGTCTCACACGAAAGGCATGTGTCTTATACACTGCTCCATTGCGACCCCAATGATACAAAGAAGCAGATGCTTCATCCCAGCACTGAGAACAGACTCAGCTGTTCTGCTTGTTGTAGGTATGTTGGTGTATTTTGTCTTTAGTTTTGAAAGTAATGTTAAGGACAAGTCTGATTCACACAGTGTCATACTGGGAACTGACTGGTACAATTTCAGTCCTCAACTGGTTTTCCCCAAGAGCTGCTTGATGGTACTTACAGAAGAAGCCAAGAGCATTAAATGTACTCAGTTTTTTTGCAGCTCCATGCAGTTTTATCAGACCTCCCAGTTTCAAGCAAGTACTTGTGTATTTGTTCCCTTGTATCCCAAATGTACAGTTATATTAACTTCATTAAAGATTCAGCAGGTATTTCTGTTAGTCCAGAGTGAGGACCTTAACGTCATACTCTCAGGGTGTTCCTAATCCAGATTTTGTTATATAGCTCTTTCGTTATCTCCCTCTTGCTTCTCTTTGGCCTCAGACTCTCCACTGAACCTTCATACTACAAACCAACACCCTGATGTGCTATTTCAGAAAATTCAGAGCTCGTTAAGTTCATCAAGGGAAGAATATTGAGCATCATGACAATTATTCCAGTAGTTGTTGAGATATTTTTAGGGCTGCTCACTAAATGTTGATTTTTATCATGTTCAGCCTCAATTGGCCCTTGTCAATTGAGTTGACTTGAAAAATTCTGGTTTGAGTACATCCCTTTACATTTCACTGAAATCCAAAAGTGTCATCTTGCTGGTGGTGCTTACTAGAAGATATCAGGAATAACCTAGGTCATAAAGATTCATCCTCTGGGGTGCATGTACTGTATGTCTGTACGACTTTTTGTACCAATCCATCTTGGAAATGTTGAGATATTTATCTGGAGAACTCACAACATTGATTTAAGTTGATTAATTATATTTAATTTAATTAATTATAAGTTGATTTCATATCTACATATAGAGACTTTAACTGGAGACTCCACATTACTCACCAAACTCTACTTGTTCTCAGCAAAGAGTCACCTGGTCAAGAGTTCGACAGCTTGTTCTGGTCGCTGGTCTGAGTTCAGCGGTCGCTGTTTCCACTACGTTCCAAAACCCATGACTTGGGCCAAAGCTGAGGTAAAGAGGGAGACTTTTTAGTCACTGTTTTAGTACAGAAGGCTTCTACAATATGTTTATTTTGTTTGCACATACATAGACATTTGGTTAATTTGCAATTTATCTCTCTCTCTCGTATTTATCTCCACTGTAGAAAAACTGTGAGTCCATGGGTGGAAACCTTGCGTCCGTTCACAACCTGCTGGAGTACCATGAGATTCAGAGGCTGATCATGAGCGCAAGTTATGATTACACAGTAACGTGGATTGGAGGCTCGGATGCACAAGAGGTATATTTATCTTTACACGAGGTCTTCTGGTTATTAGTGTTATTAATTAATTTAATATTTTGTTGTGTCTTCTAGGAGGGTGTGTGGTTGTGGAGTGATGGTACACCCTTCAACTATCGGTCTTATGGAAGGTTTAATAACTTTCAGGGCAAGCAGCACTGTCTACAGATAAATTATGGAGGTAAATCACAGCGTACTGATTTCATTTAGAGCATTATGTATGAGTAGCATATAATACACACATATCTATACATTTTTGGAAGGTTTTCTCTTATTAAACAAAAACCTTTGCTGTTAAAATGCTATGTATGTATGGCATAGTGCTGTGTTGTGTGCACAGAACAATCCCATCACGTGGTCCATTAGTAGTTGACCATATTACATGATCTTCCTCAGTGGTTAGAGTTTGATGAAGTGTCATGGAATTGTAGGTTTTCCAAATTTCCATTGTCCTGCGTATTTTAAGATCTTAAACACAACACCGATGAAACGTCATTAACGGTAAAGAAATTTGAATATCACCATTTTGAGAGGAAAACCGTGTGAAAGTTCCAGATCAGCTGCTAATGGGTCGAATGAATGAACTTTCAGTCTTAAATATTCTTTCTTTGTGAATGTCAGTATTGGAACATCTTGGAAATGTTGAGATATTTATCTGGAGAACTCACAACATTGACCTGCTAGTGGTTCATGAACAAAATTTGAGAGGATCACTAGTAAGGATTCATCCTTTAGGGACCATGGCTATCAGAAACAATCTAATAATAGCGATATCTTATAGCCACAACATCTACATGGCTTATAAATGATTTCAAGAGAGGACCCAAACGCAGAGATCTGAGCGAAGGACATTTATTTAGGGAAAAAGAGGGTTGAGGAACTGGATGGAGAGGTGGATGCTGGGAAACACTGGCACAGGGAAACCGACGGGACTGGGACCAGGGAGCTGGGGAACACTGGGGCCGAGGAAAGGAGGACGCAGGGGGGAACTGGGAGGATGCCGTGGGGGAAGCCCATAGAGGAGAGGACCAGAGGATGAGCCCAGCCGGCAGAACGGATGATGAGTGAGTGAACCTGGGAGGGAAAACAGACAAAGAGACAGGGTTAGTGACGGCAGCAACAAAGTACAGGGAAAATGAGAGAAAACAAAAAACATGAGCGCCTGAACACAGAGGTGGCACCGGGTATGGAGCAACGACAAAGCAAGAATTGTGTGGAGAACCGGGGTTGAAATACAGGCAGGGATGCCACCACAACACTGTGGTTCAGGAAGTAGAGCAGGTTGCCCGTTAATCGGACGATCAGCGGTGCAATCCCCGGCTCCAGGCTGTATGTCGAAGTGTCCTTGGGCAAGATCCTGAAACCTGAATTGCCTCTGGTGGCTGTCCACCAGTGAATGAATGTGTGTGAAAGCGCTTTGAGTGGTTGAAAGACAAGAAAGGCTCTTACAAATACGGAGCATTTACTCTTGTGGTTTTAAATAATTTGTGTCTGATTTGAGCAGAAAGAAACTGGATGGCAACCTATGGCACACGTGCCAGAGTGGGCACACAGAGACACGTGAGAAAGCAAACTCAATCCTACAATACTGAGATATGATATGTCGCTACAGATGATCACCACCATGATGAAATAATGTTGACATTATTATTAAAATTGTCAAAATAATCACAATAATCGTAACGCCTTAAAATTTTAACACAGTATTAACCTTGTGCTTTATGATCCATGACCGGGCAGGCCGACCAGCAGGTCAGCTACAGCGAAAGCTGTCTGTGCCACTGAGAATTTTAGTCTACGCCCACACACAGCGCGGGCCTCTTCTATGTCCGCACCTTGTATATATACAGTGGGTACGGAAAGTATTCAGACCCCTTTAAATTTTTCACTCTTTGTTTCATTGCAGCCATTTTCCAAAAATCAAAAAAGTTCATTTTATTTCTCAGTAATGTACACTCAGCACCCCATCTTGACAGAAAAAAACAGAAATGTAGAAATTTTTGCAAATTTATTAAAAAAGAAAAACTGAAATATCACATGGTCATAAGTATTCAGACCCTTTGCTCAGTATTTAGTAGAAGCACCCTTTTGATCTAATACATTGTCGTGACCCCACCTCTGTACAGCTGCGGGGCCCCCCAACCAAGTTTCCCGACTTATGCATGGGTCGGCCCTCGGCCTGCTTCGCCTCTAACCCAATAGTGATAGCCTTAGAGGGTGAAGCCTATATGAAATAGAATGGGGGTTACGTATTGTAACCCGGATTCTATAAATATAGGCGCAGCCGAAGTTGTAGGCCTCACTGGACCTTGCTTCTCAGTGCTGAAGAAAAGGCATTTGGGAGCTGAAGGCTGGGTCTCACCGTTGTATATATATTCAAGGTGCGGACGTAGGAGAGGCCCACGCTGTGGGTGGGCATAGACTAATTCTCAGTGCTGGGCAGGCGCGCGGAAGGGGTAAACCCAATAGCGATAGCCTTAGAGGCTCCCAGTATGTTTTAGAATTGACTTTAAAATCTTATTGATCACTTTTAAAGCTCTCATGGCCTCTCACCTTGTTATATTTCTGACCTTTTAGTCCCATACACACCAGCACGTACCTTGGGATCCTCGGGGAGAGGTCTGTTGTCTGTTCCAGAGTCTCGACTGAAAACTAAAGGGGACAGAGCGTTTGCTGTCAGGGCCCCGAGGCTCTGGAACAGCCTGCCCGAGGAAATCAGGTCGGCTGAGTCAGTGCACTCTATTAAGTCCCTTCTTAAAACATACTTTTATAGGAGAGCCTTTCCCGATTTTATTTGACTTTAATTTATCCCTTTTATTTTATTCTATTTTACTTATTTTATATTTATCTTCGTGTATTTTAGTCTTTTCAATGTTTTCTTGCTTTTATCTTGTATTGTTTTTGTATTATTTTTTGGGGTATTATTGTCTTTACACTTACACTTTGTAACTTGTTTTTGAGTGCTCTACAAATAAAGATTATTATTATTAATATAATGAATGTGAGTGTTCCTGCTTAGTGAAGTTACCTTTGACAAACAATTATTTCAATGTTATCTTTATGATCTCCATTTATTATCTATTCACTATAACTTAAGCAGTTGCTGCAACAGCAGGCAGCTGGAGGCAATTCAGGTGTTTTACAACCCTTTGTGCCCGACTGCTGCAATTTGCATCAAACTTAAAACTCCTCCTCTGAGTTATCATTCAGTCAAATCTTAACACAGATGATGATGAAACACACATGTTCAGTGTGGTGGTTCAGTGTCACTTATACTTTGTGAGGATATCAATTATCCATTCATCATGACTAAACATCCATAAAGCCATTTTAAAAGTTTGTATAAGCAGGGATGTACTGGGACGGACACGGAAAGGCCTTTCAAGTGTCGTGTTTGGGAGCAGCAGAGATGTTTGTAGGTATTTTAATAAATTGTGTTGTACTTGTATACAGTCAATTATATTATGATAAAGACCTTCAAGAAACTTTGTGACACCCGCCTCTTAAGTTTGTATAAGTAAGGCGCCACTGCACTGAACAAGACCAGGCCAGGCAAGCCTGATGTAGACAAAGTGTTAAAATATTCAAATACAATCAAAAACAGTCCCATAAAATAGAGCAACACATTCTCAGTCCCGACTCGTCACATATTGATGCTTGGTCAAGGCCGTTTGGCGTCGTCAAGTTAGCAACGCTTAGCAACAACAAATATGCAACGTCAAGTTAGGCTTTCAAAATAAAACAGCAGCGTTTCGAAACCGACATTTTTAAACAGCGGATTATTAAAGTCCTGAAACAGCAAAACTACTTGGTTATGGTCATGAAAAGATCATGGTTTTGGTACAATAACTATACGTATGTCAGTTAACACACAAATTAACTAACGTCACATCAATTTACGTAACTTAAATGAAAATATTTAATATTGACTTCTTGTTTCACACAGGACACAAACACTGCTGCGGTTCAAAGTCAGGGTTCACCCCAACCACCTCCTTACTCAGGCCTTTCTGTTAGATATCATACACCTACATTTACTGTCAAAAACTGACGCTACAGGACTTCCCCCACTGCGATGAACTATGACGCTAAAGGGATCCCCAATGCTTTACAAACAGACATCGATGGGTCTTGACCATGTGTCCATGTGACGAGTCAGGGAGTGAGAACAAGGTTGAAAAATTAAAATCCCTCATCTTCAGCACTGAGTTGGCCTATTCCTGGGTCAGCTCCCCTGTGCTGGACCTGAGTCTGCTTGTACTGATTATACAGCTACATATGCATGAAGAAGAACATCAGTAATAATCCATAATAATAATCCATTTTCTAATTCTATCTTGAGTAATTGCCTACCCAGCTCTGACTACTGCCCCTTTTCTTTTTCGACATAGTTACCTTCTCTGTTGTGCTTCTCATACAACCCAGCGCTGAGTTCAGCACCAACAAAACGTATTGACATTAAACTCGTCCTAAATGGAAAGTAAACTACTTTGATTGGCGCCTTTGAGCCAATCAGATTTCAGTATAAACGAGGATCAAGTTGGGAGGGCCCGTATTGGTTTAGCTCAATCTGATAGACACAGACAGCTTTCACCGCTGCTGACTGGCCGGCACAGTCGTGGTTCATTTAAAGAAACTGAAAAATAAAAACTCTTGAACACCGGCCTGAAACGGGCCGGGTGTTAAGGATTGTTCCCAAAATTCCCGATGGCCAATCCGCCCCGGATTAAAAGACAATCCTTTTGACTCCGGAACTTGCCTTCTTTTGAAACATATTCTTCAGTGTAGACATAATCTAGTACACTGCAACTAGGAATTGCAAATGGCTAATATGGCAACTAGATGGTGACAATTTGCCAAAAAGTCAGCAAATACAGGAAAAAAAAAAAAAGGGGGTCCGAGTTGTACATCGATGATGATTGCTGATTGTAATGGGGGATGTTATAAGTTCTTTTTGTGTAACTTCAGTGCAGCAGTGTAACATAATTGAGAGTGGCCCCGGTGTAAAACATAAGCAACTTTGGTGTAGACACAGGTGTACAGACACACAACGACTCCAAGCAGTTACAGCCTTTGATCTGCACCACAGACAGCGGCCGAAGAGCCAAACGCAAATCTTAAGGCCTGCCCTTGACTCACACCTGCTGTCTCCTACCAAACAACTGAAATAGCTTTAACCAGCCTGCAGTAACAAATCAACACAAAGTAGCTGACACAGTACATGTTTACACCAAAGGACAAATAGCAGTCAAGAAAAGCACAGCATCTCATTATGACTACACAGTATGAATAAATGGAAGATGGCATCTGCATACGATCCATGTGGCAATTGTCTCGTGTCTCGAGAGCCCATGTGATCAGCTGGGTAAGTTGGTATGTAGGCCATTGCTTCAGTGGACTGAACCTTAAGCCCCTTCTGTGGGGCTGTTTAAAGGACAACAGGATTGGGGTGCAGATGTGTGTAACTGTGTAAATAAAATTTACTCTGTGTAAATAAAGGTAAAAGAATATTTGACATAGATTAATTTCAATCTAATTTATATACCACCAAGTCATAAGAGAAATTATTTAATTGCACTTTTCATAGAGCTCATTTAAACCATAGACTTTGTAATATTATTTACAGAGACTCAACACTTCTCATCATTAGCAAACGTGTAATAACAATAATAATTATAATAGTGATAATAATAAGAAAAACAATTGTAGCAGCAGGTGTTCAGGCAGAAATACCTGCAGAAAACAAAACTTCCGGAGAGGGAAGAAGTCAAGCGCAGTGTTCTGGTGGGTACAAAGGTACTATGAGCTCTTTAAGATAAGATGGCATCATCGTATGACCATTAAGAGTTTTGTAGGTGAGCAGAAGGATGTGGTCTCACAAAGCTGCACTGTAAAGCTTGGGAACAGGCCCAAAACAATCAAATAATAAAGCCACATGTCAATATTCATTAACCACACCATGACACACTTTGCAGTGTCAGGGACACGTCCAATGCTAATTACCGGATATGAAAAAACATTTGTACAATAACTTAATTTACATGGAAATTTAAGTTTCTCTTATGTCAGCACTGACCCTAAGAGGGAGTTAGTTTCATCAGCTAGGAAGCTGTAACATGCAGGAGGTTCGTGAATGCGGTGAGGAGAACACAACACAACAGCCTATTAATTTTAACATAACATTAAACCGTCCACTTGGCAAACTATTTTAATCAGTCCTGTGCCCGATCAGTCCATAAGTTATGGAACAGAGACATTAACAGTCTCATCAAATTTTAACTGTCAGGAACATTAGCCAAAGAAAATATGTATGAATGTGTGTTTCTGTCCAGTACGAGAATATCAGGAGTTGGTTCCTCCAGATAAACAGCTGATGGAGCTAATTCTCCAATAGGTGCCATTTTATCATTGCAGAAGAAGAGGATGCAATGTGATGATATCAAAGAGCTCCAGTCAAAGCTCAAATGGTGGAAAACATGTGGAAATCTTACAATACTGCACCTCCACCACTGAAATGATTTGCTGAACTTTGATCAGAGCAAATGATTACAGCTTTTAGGTTAACTTCTAGGGAAAGAGTAGAATTCCTACAGGACATCCTGCCTTTGCACAATCTGCCCTTTTTATTAGACATTAATGCATGGAATAAGCTCCCTGATACTTTGAGAAGATGCGTAGGTTTCATCATCCTGTCATGTGATGTCAAACATGTATCTGCCCAGGGCCTGCAGACGAGAAGTAGCTATAGGAGCTGGATCTGATACACATCTGTAACACATAGATCTCTTCTCTTTGTATTAAATACATGTTTTGTACTTGTACTTTTGTACTTTGCCTGAATAAATGTAATAAAACTAAACTATTACCTGTTACCTTGTATCAGTGGTTCTCAAACTGGGGCTTGGGCCCCCCATGGAGGGCCACAGTGATTGATTCCACTTTTCATGGAGTCGGGGAGCTTAAACTTTTTTGGAGTACCACTGTCTTACATCAACATGAACCTAAAACCCGCATGTCTTACGCTACATGCTTTTGCAGAGTTAAACTGTGAGGGGCAGGTTGTCCATGTCTACCAGTCACAGGGTGGGTGGTTCAATCCCCACGTCCTTCAGTCTGCATGTTGCATGTCCTTTGAAGTTGTCAGAATTTAAGAAGACAAACTGAAACATTCAGCTGAATCTAGTGATATTAATATCTAACTGTAGAGCTTTCAGGTTGTGTTAACCCTCTCACTGACTTGAAACATAGATTAGCCTTTAAAGTAAACAGCTGATGCCATCTGAACAGCTGTTAAGTTAATTATTTAGGCATCTCTTTTATAATCCACCATCAACTAAGGTGGAGCATGTATGTATAATGTACAGACGTACTTGTGTAAACATATTTAGTGATTATTGCATGGTCAGCTTACTGTATATAAGTCTTTCTCAGCATCTACACTCAGGCTGACACTGAGAAGAAGAAGAAGATAATCCTCCAGCAGGTTTGCTTCACTTTTCTCTCTCCATGTTTTTGTTTTCTATCTTGTTGTCACTTATTTGTAGGAGGACTGCGGTCGTTACTTCTGTTTCTGAAGTATTACTAACACGTCTGTCTCTCTTTGTTGAAGGTAATCATCAACTTTTAAATCAGCATCACCTCCACCATGAAGACGCTGATTCTGTCTGCACTTCTTTGTGCCGTGATCACGCTGACCAGAGCTGCTGGTGAGAGTCGCTGTTTGCAACATGTGTGTGTGTTCTGACTGAGTTTGTTTGTGAGGAAAAATACACAGCAACATGATGGACATAATCACTAACTGGTGTGTTTAACTGTTCAGCTCTTTCAGAAGCAAAGGATGAAGGTGGGGAAGTGGCAATAATTCAAGAAGGTGAATACATATTTCTTCACTGTGTTTTGTAAACTTTGTCTGGAGACTCAACTTGACCCACTTGTCTTCTTTTGACTTGATCAGGAGAGCATCATATCTTGGAGAGGTCAACATCTTGTCCCAGTGGTTGGACTAAGATCAGCGGTCGCTGTTTCTCTTTGTTCCACGAACCATGACTTGGGCTCAGGCTGAGGTTTGACAGGAGATGATTTGGATTTGATGCAGATGTTCTGTTTGTATGGACTTGCAGACTTGGTAACTTTGCATCTTCCTCTCGCTTTTGGTGTCCTATCTTTGTCTATTTGTCTCCACTGTAGAGAAACTGTCTCTCCTTAGGTGCAAACCTTGCATCCGTACGTGGAGCTGAGGAGTATCACGGGATTAAAAGGCTGGTAGCAGATAAAACTCATGGGAATTCACAGACTTGGCTCGGAGGCTCTGACAGTGAAGAGGTAAATCATTCATTGATGATTGAAGGTAAATTCTTGACCTTGGAAATAATAGTTTGACATCTATTTGCTCAGGAAGGTCATGAGATGTGACCTCCTCCCTATGTGGACTTTGTCACTCTATCACAAAGTCACATGACTTTATTATAATTATTACAGCCATAGAGGGCTTTGTTACGTGAAAGTAAACAGGCTTGGGGCTCTTGCTGAAATGATTGATGCAGTTGTTTCTCTTTGCAGGACATAAATAAGACCTTCTAACGAAAATGTTTTGTCAAAGCTTTTAATGGTATTTATAGTAGATGGTATTTGCAGTGTTTTTATTTAGTTTATATTGTTATTTAAGCATTTATTCTATTCTAATCTATATTTTTCAGGAGCGTGTCTGGTTCTGGAGTGATGGTACACCTTTCACCTTTTCATACTGGTGCAGGGGAGAGCCAAATAACGATGGATATCAGCACTGTTTACAAATGAACTATGGAGGTAAATCATCAAATACATTATTTTGCATGAGAACTAGTGTTGATAATTAAAGCAATATAAATGACAAAAGTGAGATAAATTTATAAATATATATCTTTTCATACCTCTGCCATGGCTTTAAAGCCTCCCATTTATTATTTAAATATTTAAAATATTATTATAAAATATTTAGTTTTACTTTGTATCATATTATATATTCTGCTAAACAATGAAACTCATGTGTTTCTCATACACACAGGTGACAAATGCTGGGATGATACAAAGTGTCACTACCACCTTCAATCTGTCTGTGTAAAGAAAACCACCTGATTCATGGGCTGACACAGAGGCATGAAGCACCTGGAAAAATCTAAAACATGGGTGGATATTTTCTCTCTCTTCATGCCATCAGTCTCATGTGTACACTGAAGGCTCTATATCTCATTTCATGTCTTTATGTTCTTCTCTATCGCTGTAACGCTACTTAAAAAACTAAGTGACAAGTGAATTAAGAAGATCTGGATCGTCTCAGAGGCCTTGTGCCTTTAATAACAGCAGACTGAATGTGTTATGAAAGAATGCTTTTAGCACAAACTTGTTCTGCAGAGCGAACTGTTCTTTCTTGTCTCATGCAAATTAAAAGGTTCAATCATTGAAACAACCTGGTCTGTGAGTCTGTTTTAAATCTGATGTTTTTAAGGGCTTAACTTCACTGCTAAGCAATCAGTAAACCAGTCTAAAGACAGAACTTCAGTTATGTTGTTAGACACTTTTAAAGTTAATATATGTTTCACTGACAGAAGATGGGATAGCATCAATGCTGCAAACCTTTGTCATGAAGTTCCACAAACAGAACAAAGGAGCATTTATTCAAATGTATATAAATATAAAATTATAAAGGACTGTCACACAAATGTTCTTTGGTTCTGACATGATCAAAAAACTAAACTGTGTGCTCTTGCTGTGAACTCACAGATAAACTCCTGAGATCTTTTTTTTTCTGGGGTCTGTATGCAGGAAACATTTACAGTTCACTCCAGTATCATTTCAAATGTGTCATTATGGCAACAGATTCAGCACTAAGACAGCTCTTGTTAAGGTCTTCAGTGACATTCATTTGAACCAACCCGGTCTCACTCCCAAGTCGTCACATATGGACGTTGGTCAAGAGCCATAATCGTCAGTTTGTGACGCACTAGGGATCCCTTTGACGTCATAGTTCGACGTATTGAGGGAAGCCCTGTTGTGCCAGTTTTCAACCCGGTCTGTTTGAACACTGACAGAGGCAAAAGTTCAGTCTTGGTATTATGGATCTCAGTGCTGCTTTCGACACAGTCGACCACAACATATTACTTGACAGACCTGAAAACTGGGTGGGACTAAATTTTGAATCCTACTTAAAGGACAGGGACTACTTTGTGTCTATAGGTAATTATACATCTGAGCTAAGAAAAATGACTTGTGGAGTCCCCAAGGCTCCATTCTGGGGCTTCTTCTGTTTAACATTTACATGCTTCCACTCTCTCAGATTATGAAAAAGAACAAAATATGTTACCATAATTATTCAGATGACACACAAATTTACATAACCATATCACCAGGGGACTATGATCCCATTCAAGCGTTGAGTAACTGTATTGAACAAATTAACAATTGAATCTGCCAGAATTTTCTTCAATTAACAAAGATAAAACTGAAGTTTTAAAACGATTAAAACCACACACCAAGCCAGAAATCTTGGTGTAGTCATGGACTCAGACCTGAATTTTAGCAGCCAAATTAAGGCAGTTACAAAGTCAGCCTACCATCACTTGAAGAATATCTCAAGAATTAGAGGACTTATGTCTCAGCAGGATCTTGAAAAACTTATCCATGCATTTATCTTCAGTCGACTCGACTACTGCAACGGTGTCTTTACAGGGCTCCCTAAAAAATCAATCAGACAGCAGCATTTTTACCAGATGGTACGCGGCTTTCCCATTGGAATGAATTGACAGAAGACGCTGGCGTCAGAAAGAAACGCTTTGGTGGACACGGGCAATTAGAGTCCCCTTAGGAAGTGTGAAAAAAAAAGGTGGGGGATAGTGTGGGACATAGGGAATTAAAGAAGTAAAATAAGCAAAGATGAGAGACCTGCCTGTTTTTTTCTATCCAGACCAACAGAGTATTAGTCAGAGGGCCGTGCAGAGACCTCTGGAAGGGCAGGCGCTCAAAGTATAAAAGGGGCACATGGAACAAGGATTTAAATAGGGCTGTTCTCCAAATATCGATACAGAAATATATTGTGATGCATCCGTTGCTGATACGCGTACACAGATGCTTCTGTATCGATACATCAGCAAATGCTGTGATGCAGAAACATGGGAATACCCAGCTCTAGCTTTAAAACTCTTTGGGCTGACATAACTTACAGGGAACAGTTGCTGTTGAGGAGTTGCTGGGGATGTTGCTGCTGCTGCTGCTGTTGTTGTAGCTGCTGATACTACTGGAGGTGATCTGTGAGTAGAGATATTAAAACAAACATAGGAGATATATTAGCTGATTAAACAAATATGTGACCGTGACAAGATGTAAAGATTTCTGACAGTGTTTGGGACTGGCTCACTATGACTGGCCTGCTGCAAGGCAAGGCAAGTTTTTTTGTATAGCACATTTCAACAACAAGGTTATTCAAAGTGCTTTACATAAAACATAAAAGCAACAGGGAAATATAAAAAAAGTTTAAAAGCAACATAGGGAAATTAAAAAATACACATTAAAAAATAAAAGTTACAGTGCAGTGTACAATCAGGGTTAAAAGAGTTAAATGGAAAATAAAAACAGGCTGAGCGGTTGAGCAAATGATTGAGTTACAATTATTCTGAAAAGAGAATAATAAAAAAGAGAGAAGTACACTTAATCTATTCTCTCTAGCTAGTCTGTACTCGTGTCCATAGCAATCTTTGGGTCCACTGAAACTCCAAAAACCCTCGGACACCACAGAGAAACCAGGACATGTCTGTCCGAAGGCCACTTTGATCCAGTTATAGTCTGGACCCACTTGCGCGTTTACAGGTGGACAGAGGTTCCTGCATATCACTCAGGCGAGAGATTTAAGACCATTTCCTTCACTCTGTTCAATCTCACTCTCATTATCTTTTCACTTAATTACCGACTCATTTCTCACCGTGTAAATATTTAATTAAAAGCAATGGTAAAAAGGTAAAAACGAAGAAACGAAGAAAAAGAAAACAGGACAGTAAAAGTTACAGTGAAGTGTAAGTTATCAATCTCCTACTTAAAGGAAGTGGTAAAAAAATCTAAAATATTTAATTAAAAACTATGGTAAAAAAAAAAGTTTTCAGTCTTAATTTAAAAGAACTGACAGTTTCAGCAGACCTGCAGTTATCTGGGAGTTTGTTCCAGATATTTGGAGCATAATAACTCAACGCTGCTTTTCCTTGTTTAGTTTTGACTCTGGGGACAGAAAGCAGACCTGCCCCAGACGACCTGAGAGGTCTGGATGGTCCATAAAGAAGCAGAAGATCAGAAATGTATTTTGGTCCTAAACCATTTAGTGCTTTATAAACTAACAGCAGGGTTTTGAAATCAATTCTTTGACATACAGGAAGCCAATGTAAAAACCTCAGAACTGGAGTGATGTGATCCACTTTTTTGGTCTTAGTGAGGACTCGAGCTGCTGCGTTCTGAATAAGCTGCAGCTGTCTGATGGATTTCTTAGGGAGCCCCGTAAGGACACCGTTACAGTAGTCGACTGAAGATAAGTTCTTTAATCCTTGATATATTCTTCAGATGATAGTAGGCTGACTTTGTAATTGTAATGGCATCAATAACATTTGTAATTTTAGAACTGAAATTATCTACAAGCTCATTGACTGAGACCTGTGAGAGGGCGGGTGTCGAGGAGAAAGCCTCAATAAATTTTTCACTAGTGTTTTCAGTGATGTGCCGTTTTGTGATTATCTCTGTTTGTACATTTGTGTGCACACAGATAGCACTCTCAAAGAAAACACAGGAACGATCAGAGAGAGCAACATCAGTCACCACAGCCTTGGAAATGTCCAGACCCTTGGAGATGACTAAGTCCAAAGTGTGCCCCTTATTGTGTGTGGGCTCTGTCACATGTTGGCTCAGTCCGTAATTATTAAGAACACAAAACAGTTCTTTAGTCCCTTTGTCCTGGGGGTTGTCAACATGGATGTTAAAATCACCAACAATAACTACACAGTCAAAGTCAATACAGATTATAGACAGCAGTTCACCAAAGTCATCAAAAAAGTTTGCACAGTATTTAGAGGGCCTGTAGAAATTTAGAAAAATAGCTCGAGAGGAGCAATTCAGCTGAAGAGCCACATATTGAAAAGAAGCAAAATTCCCATAAGACATCTTTTTGCATTGGAGGGAGTCATTAAACAAAATGGCAACTCCACCTCCTCTCTTATGCACTCTAGCTTCACTTATGAAACTACAGTTGGGAGGAGTAGACTTGATAAAGACAGCTGCACTGTTATCTTGGTCCAACCAAGTTTCAGTTAAAAACATGAAATTAAGATTGTGAGTGATTATAAAATCATTGATTAAAAATGTTTTTCCTGCCAAATACCTAACATTTAACAAAGCTAATTTTAGTGTGTTAAAAATATTATCTGGCCCACTTTTTTCAACAGGCTGTAGCTGACGAGGAATTAATACTAAATTTGCAGGGTATGTTGAGTGCTTCCTGTTTCTTAACACATTCACCTTTCTTTTTCTGTTACCTATCAAGACAGGGATGGAGTGTTGTTTTATGTCTTCTTCTTGTTTAGATTCCTCGTGTCTCTTGTCCTTGGCAGAGGGAACAGATGAGTGACGCAGAAAGTAAAACAGGTTGGAGCTGAACAATTTTACTCCTGACTTGTTAAGGCGAAGTCCACCTGCCTTAAAAAGATAAAAGTTTTCGATGAAATGCACTGAATGGACAGTACATGCCGTTGAGAGCCACGTGTTCAATGCCATCAATCTGCTGAATCTCTCAGCTGCTCTTCGGATTGGCGGTATAGGGCCACTGATAAACACCTCAGCATTCAAAGAGCTGACTGTGTTCAACAGATTATTAAAGTCCTCTTTCAACACTTCAGACTGTTGCTTCACAACATCATTGGTCCCGATGTGCAGTATGATGTTTTTCACAGTAGGATGTTCAGCCACGATATGAAGGATTCTTTCTGCCTAGTCAGACACCGTATCCTTCGGAAAGCAGAGGATTTTGGTGTTCTTACTGCACATGCTTCTTACATCGTTTACAGCAGAGTCACCCACAATCAGAGTCTGAGGCCCAGTCGTTAGCTTTCCCTGCAGCCTTTTACTTTCTGATTTACTCTCAGTCCTTACCCTTCTGTGTGAGGACGGGATGTTATCCAGGTCATCAGATGGAGATCCAGGGTCCAGCAATAGTGGTGAAAATCTATTCTGCTGTTGCACACTCGGTTGTTGGGGAGGCTTGTTGTCCACCGCTTTGGGTCCATGGTAAAGTGGTGTCATTCCCACATGGTCTATACACTTCCACATTCACTTCCAACCTGTGGATCTTGGTTTCCAGCACTGCAATTTTCTATAGAAGCTCCTGCAGCTTCTGCACAAACAGACAGCACAGAGAAAGGACAACACCTGCAA